TTAAAGTATATACTTACCGTGTTGACAGTTGCATCTGTAACCACCGTCTATGTTAGTACACACCCCATGTATACAACTAGTTGTCACTGCACAAAAAAAAAACAAGCATCTAGTGGTATATGAGAGCTTCTATATTAACCTCTCTTCTGGAGGTAATTTTATCATGTTGTTCATCTGAAAGTTTCGAGTGAAATTATCTCAAATGTGAGAGGGAGGCATACCTGCAAACGAGCACCATTCATTTCCTGATGGCTCGGACTATAATGACCATGTAAGGCTCTCTTTCCTCTCCACACAACACAGAATAATGTGTATCCTAGTAACATGAAAACTACCAGCATCGCCAGTAAAGGGCCAATGATATAGCTCAAGTAGATGATACGTCTCTCTGCGCCACGGAAAAACAGTAAAAAAAATTATTGTCTCTTAAGTTTTCTTAATAAATCAATCAAATAAATATCAACAAAAAACATTTCATATGTCATCTTCAGTTATTGATAGAAACATAATAATCTCATTTCTTGGTGTTATTTCAAAATAAAATAAACTTTTATTCCATAAAATGTAAACAATTCTAAAATTTAGACCTTACGATATAATTTCCAGAGCTTTTCCACCGGTTTCGACAAATATTCGTATTCAATCTTAAACCATTCCAGGAATTCCTCCGGAGCGATCGCTTTCTTCTCGACCAATTCTTGTTGTTTGTGGATATTGTAGAGAGCATTACAAAAGTGGATTGTCGGCGCGAGATCACGGCGAACTTGCTTTAAAGTCTTCCGATCTTCATATCCGTTCGAATGGGAACTAAAATCATTAATAAAAGTTACATAAAAATCTACTTAAATACTTACTCTCCAAGAACGCGCCAATAATTGAAAATGTCATCAGAACCATATCGATCCGTAAGATAATCCACAAGAACAGTCTTCGATTGATGAAACCTAGGATCAAGGCCTCCTTTCTTTGCCAAATTCTTCAAAAAAAGGATCCACTCAACCAGAGTTGCTCAGACGCAGAGGATCCTTGTCGACGTGAAAGCAAGTACACCGCGTTGTCCAAATGAGCTTGAGGAGTAGCAAGAATACGCGGGTCCGGAGGATGCTCCACTTCCTTCAAACACCCGGGAATTACCTGAATTTCTTTCATTTAAATGTGAAACATTCCCACAATACAAAAAATTTTGAAAATATTAATGATTATAAAAATACGTACATCTCCAACACCTTCCTGTACCACAATTTGAAAGTCCATAGCACTTCGAAATTCTTCTGGAATGCGAGCCATAACAATCTTGCGTTGCTCCTGGACAGTTTTTCCAGCATAAGGACACACGATTGTAACCGAAGGTTTGGCTAAAAATTTCCATTGTTTGTCTAAATTTTAATAAGAACTTACTTATGGTTAATCCGCCAAGATTCATCGATTCTAACACTTCTTTTACTTCTTGGAGGAATTTCGTCGCATTGCTGTAGAATTTCGTCGCATTGCTGTAGAGTGACCGAGTACAATTCTCTGAGGAAACACAAATAGAACAATCATTTTAAAGGGTAATGGTAATGATCGTGGATTCAATTTTCTAAGTCTAATGATAGAAGTATCAACATCGAAGTTGTTCCTCAAATATTCATATGCGATCGTCAACTGTACTACTTCTACTTCACATCCTTTTCATATATCATTTTATAACAATACACGTTCAAGGGTAAACTTTTTTATTCATATAGCTTT